CTATTATTTATTTTATTTATACGTGACTTTGCCGACAGAGCCAAGAGAAACTTTTTAAAAGTTTTGGTCAAGAAAAAAAATTGTGGTTTTCTTTTTAAAACCCAAAGGAAAAAAAAATGCACTCTTCACACACCACGACGTAGCGCGGTCCATCTTGGCGCGTGTCTTGGCGCGTGTCTCGACTCGCCCGGGAGACTTGAGACGCAGGCGTGCGTGTGGACATGGTCGGATAAGCGAGCGCCGATGGGGGAAAATGACCGTGAAGCCGTGCGCGAATTTATTGTTGTTGCCGTCCGTGCGGCGGGATAGGCTTGTGAACATCTGCTGGAAATGACACCACGCACAAATATTGCACTGGGGGAGGGTGTGTGTGTGTGGGATAGGTTTTGTTCTAGATTTGAAGCTTTCGTGACTGCAAGGATTCATACTCATAGTTTTTTTGGTAAAGTCACGTAGGTAAAAAAATGAAATTAAAATTAATAAAAATAAAATAATAAAAATCGCAACGTTTCGGAGGCAACACAAGTCTCCGTCATCAGGTGGGACCGTCACAGCCAGATTTGCTGTATTGATACAGCAAATCTGGCTGTGACGGTCCCACCTGATAGAGCAAATCTGGCTGTGACGGTCCCACCTGATGACGGAGACTTGTGTTGCCTCCGAAACGTCGTGATTTGTATTATTTTTTTTTATATTTTAATTTCATTTTTTACCTACGTGACTTTAACGAAAAAACTAAGAGTATAGGTTTTGTTGGTAGCCGGGGGGCAGTTGTGCGGCGGTCGGATGTGCGGCTTAGAAACGAATTGTACGACAGCGAAAAAGAGTTGCACGGCAGGGGCGAGCGAGGGAGGGAAGGACAAACACCACGTGCTCTTCTAGACGCGCCGAGAGGTGACGGCAAAAAAATACGAAATATTGTACACAGACTTCTACAGAGAGTGTATATACACACACACAGTATATATATATAAAAAAGTCTATTTTGGAAGCTTTGGTTGGGTTGCTACGAGCACGGGGATCGTTCTGCGCAACGGGTAAAAGGGGTGAAGGTTCTGGTGCCGAGTTTGCCTGTCTGTCCGTCGCGATGTCTGACTGTCGGTGTGATTGTGTGGCTTGTTTGGTTGGTCTGGCCGGCGAGGTTGATCGTATGACCGTCACATGTTGTTTGGTTGGTCTGGCCGGCGAGGTTGATGGTTTGACCGTCACATGTTGTTTGGTTGGTCTGGCCGGCGAGGTTGATGGTTTGACCGTCACATGTTGATTGTTGATCTGGCCGGCGAGGTTGATCGTATGACCATCACATGTTGTTTGGTTGGTCTGGCCGGTCGGGTTGATGGTATGACCGTCACATGTTGTTTGGTTGGTCTGGTCGGTCGGGTTGATTGTATGACCGTCACATGTTGTTTGGTTGGTCTGGCCGGTCGGGTTGATGGTATGACCGTCACATGTTGATGGTTGATCTGGCATTGTATCAGTTTTTGCTGCCTGTCAGATTGAAATTGTATATGTATAGCTGTCAAGTTGGACGTTGGCCTGTCAGTATGGATGTCAGGTTGTCTTAAGTCGGCACTGGTTGTGAGGTTGGCTGTCGTTGCCACGTCGCCTGCCCGTCAGGTTGAATGTCTGCCTGTCAAGTTGGCTGTCTGTAATATTGGCTGCCTGGCTGTGTTGTGTCCGGTTGTTTCATTGGATGCTTAGTTGTGAAGTTGGCTGTGGTTGTCCGGCTGACTGACTGACTCCGGATACATGTGGTTGTCAGCTTGCCTTTCTGATTGACAGGTTGGCCGTCTGGTTGTCATATTTGCCCTGTGCTTGCCAGGCTGGATGTCCGATTGGTTGTCAGGTAGGCTGTCTGTCTGATTGGCTCTGTCTGATTGACTGTCAGTTTGGCTGTATGTCTGTCTGACTGGCTGGATGGTGGTCTAGTTAGTTGTCTGACTGGTCAGTTTGGCTGTGGCTCTGTGCTTGTTTGAAGGAGGAGGGAGGGAGGGATGGAGGATATGTCGTGGGTTGTGAGTGATCTGGTGCCTTGTTCAGCGGGAGCTGTGGAGGAGCGTTTGTACATAGTGGAGTGTGATTGTACCATAGTGTATTTATTTTGCAATAAAACTTTGGAAATCACAATGTCACCAGTGTCATTTACGCGGCTCGTGTCAGCGGTCGTGGTGTGGGACCTTACACACTCAGCAGCTGCTGCCCCCCACCCTCGCTCAAGTTTTCTGTTCGGGATACTTGGGCCCCCTTTTAAAATGGGGGGAGAAATGTAATTGCAGTGCACAGCAGCCTCGTATTGATGCGAGTTTGGCAAGTGACTCCGTGTATGTCTCCATGTCTCCGCACATTGTCTCAGCGTTTCCTGTGTTTGTGCCTTGTGTCTCTCTGTGTATGTGCCTGTGTGATTGGTGTCGATGTCTCTCTGTGTCTCTGTGCTGTGTTCTATATCTGACACCTCTTGGAAATCGATGCATCATCTCCCTGTATCTCTCTCGGTGTCTTTTGTCTCTTCGTGTCTCTTGGCGAGTCTCTGTCCATGTCCGTGTCTTCTGTGTCCCCGTGGCTCACTCGATCAGTTCTGTCAACCCCTTGGACCAACGTTGGCCCAATGTGCCATGTTCACCGAGGAGGTACGAGAACAACGGGACATGTCATGCGGTCAAAAAGGACATCTCACAATCTTGACTTAAAGCTTTCGTGACTGCAGGAATTCATATTCTTTGGGTCTTTCGGTAAAGTCACGTAGATAGGTTTAAAGAAAATAGTTTTGTTATTTTTTGTTACTTTCTTTGAACCTATCTACGTAACTTTACCGATAGACCCAAAGAATATGACATCTCACAACGCCGGATACTGATATAGTACAATGCATTTTCCTGGGTGGTATATTACTCGTCGTCAGCCATGCTCATTCCACTGCTGGATGAAGTCTGCGCCCATGTTGATTATTTTGCAGCTGGCAACAAAAATCATGAAAACTATGGACCAGTTTCAACATTCAGTTTCTCATCAGCAGTCAGGCTTTGCTTGAACCAATGTTGGCGAACTGCCCAGATGTTTACGTATAGACAAGGACCGGCTTCGACATTCAGTTTCTCATCAGCAGTAGAGACGGGCTTTGCCTGAACGAATTCTGGTGAACTGGCCAGATGTTTAGAGGCAAGGACCAGTTTCGACGTTCAGTTTCTCATCAGCAGTAGAGACGGGCTTTGCCTGAACGAATTCTGGTGAACTCCCCAGATGTTTACATATAGACAAGGACCGGCTTCGGCATTTAGTTTCTCATCAGCAGCAGCAGTCAGACTCTGCTTTAACCAATTCTGATGAACTCCCCAGATGTTGAGGCAAAGACCGGTTTCAACATTCAGTTTCTCATCAGCAGCAGCAGCAGCAGTCAGACTCTGCTTTAACCAAATGCTTGCGTACTCCCCAGATTTAAATTTCGATTTAAAGCTTTCGTGACTGCAGGGATTCGTCTTCCTGGTTCTTTCGGTAAAGTCACGTAGAAGGGAAATAATAAAATAATAAAAAATAAAACATAATAAAATACAATTCTCACGACGTTTCGGCCACAACGCAAGCAGCCGTCCTCAGGTGAAGAACAGGTCTGTCGGAAAGACAGCGTCTGAATGAACGTTCATTCGGAAAGACAGCGTCTGAATGAACGTTCATTCGGAAAGACAGCGTCTGAATGAACGTTCATTCGGAAAGACAGCGTCTGAATGAACGTTCATTCGGAAAGACAGCGTCTGAATGAACTTTCATTCGGAAAGACAGCGTCTGAATGAACGTTCATTCGGAAAGACAGCGTCTGAATGAACGTTCATTCGGAAAGACAGCGTCTGAATGAACGTTCATTCGGAAAGACAGCGTCTGAATGAACTTTCATTCGGAAAGACAGCGTCTGAATGAACGTTCATTCGGAAAGACAGCGTCTGAATGAACGTTCATTCGGAAAGACAGCGTCTGAATGAACGTTCATTCGGAAAGACAGCGTCTGAATGAACGTTCATTCGGAAAGACAGCGTCTGAATGAACGTTCATTCGGAAAGACAGCGTCTGAATGAACGTTCATTCGGAAAGACAGCGTCTGAATGAACGTTCATTCGGAAAGACAGCGTCTGAATGAACGTTCATTCGGAAAGACAGCGTCTGAATGAACGTTCATTCAGACGCTGTCTTTCCGACAGCCCTGTTCTTCACCTGAGGACGGCTGCTTGCGTTGTGGCCGAAACGTCGTGAGAATTATATTATGTTTAAATTTTATTATTTTATTATTTCCCTTCTACGTGACTTTACCGAAAGAACCAAGAAGATAACTCCCCAGATGTTTAGAGGCAAGGATCGGCTTCGACATTCAGTTTCTCATCAGCAGCAGCAGGCAGCAGTCAGGCTCTGTATTCTTAGGTTTTTTCGGTAAAGTCACGTAGGTAAAAAATGTCAATTAATAAAAGTAAAATAAAACAAAATAAAAAATCACGACGTTTCGGAGGCAACACAAGCCTCCGTCTTCAGGTAGAACCGTCACAGCCACGACAGCTGTATCAAGTAAATGAGACTTTGTCTATTCTTAGTCTTAAGCCTCACCTTACCATATTAATAAAAAGTGTGCCGTTCCTGGCCCTTCCCCCCTCAACCATTATTTATACGGGGTGGTATTTCTTGTGATCGCTCATTTACTTGATACAGCTGTCGTGGCTGTGACGGTTCCACCTGCAGACGGAAGCTTGTGTTGCCTCCGAAACGTCGTGATTTTTTAATTTGTTTTATTTTACTTTATTAATTTACATTTTTTACCTACGTGACTTTACCGAAAAAAACCTAAGAATATGAATCCTTGCAGTCACGAAAGCTTCAAATTTAGAAATAGTCAGGCTCTGCTTTCACCAATGCTTGCGAACTCCCCAGACGCGCTCGGAGTGATCCCAGCGCAGCTATTGCGGCCTCTAGCGGCCGCCACGTGGATGTGCGCTCCAGTGACCCGCACTGTACTCCACGTACAGTAAGAGGTGGCCAGGGTGACACTGGGTGGAGGTTTTGTCTCGTTTGGGAGTCATCCTTTAGTTGGGATAGCTACACACACACGTGTGTGTGTGTGTGTGAGTGCCGGTCCTGTGTGTGAGTGCCGGTCCTGGGCTCCCCCCCCCTCCCCTAGGTCGGCTCGGCCTCAAGCGAGTACCTGTTGTAGCGGTGTGGAGAAAACATCGCAACTTGGGAGAGACAAAGGCGGTCGGGCGTGGTGCTGGCCCCCCACCCCCTTCGTGATCAACTCGGTCCCAGCAGTCTGTTAAAGGGTCGATAGCTTTGTTATTGATCTCGATTTGACGTTTTCGCTCTCCTCGTGCGAAGTCACGTCTCGTCGTGTGAGCGACAACGCCGCCACCGCCGCCGCCTCATCTCGGTGAGTGGACACCGACCCCATCACAGCCACCACCATCATTACCAACATCACCATCATCACAGCCCCCACCATCATCACCACCATCATCATCACAGCCACCACCATCATCACCATCACCACAGCCACCACCATCATCACAGCCACCACCATCATCACCATCATCATCGCCACCACCATCATCACAGCCACCACCATCATCACAGCCACCACCATCATCATCACAGCCACCATCATCATCATCATCACCACCACCATCATCATCACAGCCACCACCACCATCATCACCATCACCACCACCATCATCACAGCCATCATTATCACCACTATCATCACAGCCACCATCACCACCACCATCACCACCATCATCACCACCATCACCACCGCCATCACCACCATCATCACAGCCATCACCATCACCACCGCCATCACCACCATCATCACCACCATCATCACAGCCACCACCATCACCACCACCATCATCACAGCCACCACCATCATCATCACCATCACCACCATCATCACAGCCATCATCATCACCACTATCATCACAGCCACCATCACCACCATCATCACAGCCACCACCATCATCACAGCCACCATCACCACCGCCATCACCACCATCATCACAGCCATCACCACCACCATCATCACAGCCATCACCACCACCATCATCACCGCCACCACCATCATCATCACAGCCACCACCATCACCACCATCATCACCATCATTACCACCATCATCACAGCCGCCACCACCATCATCATCACAGCCACCACCACCATCATCACAGCCACCACCATCATCACCACCATCATCACCATCACCACTATCATCACAGCCACCACCACCATCATCACAGCCATCACCACCATCACCACAGCCACCACCACCATCACCACCACCACCATCACCACCGTCGTCAACGGCGGTGAGGGTTCCACAAGTTTCAACTAAAACAGCCGTGGTTATAATCACGGGCGGGGTGGGTGGGGATGGGGGCAAAACTGGACCATGTATTTTTTTTTAGTAGCTTACAATAAAGATTTTAAAAATATATAAGGGATGTCTTCCCCTCACAAAAGGATGGGGGCCCACAGGAGGATGAGGACCCACAATAGGATGAGGGCCCACAATAGGATGAGGTTCCACAAAAGATTTCATTGAAAGCGACATTTCGTGTGAATTTTCTCTCGTCGTTAAGTAGATGGCCTCGCTGGGGGGTTCGGTTCAATGCGGACTGTCACCTGTTTGGGATTGCGGGGAGAGATAAGGCGACATGGAGCTGCTGGCCGTGCGAGAAGACCGCCGTCTGCAGATCGATTCCAACGTGATCGAACGTCTGTCCCTGCGCCTCCGTCGTTCATGCAGGGGGCGCGTAGGTTTGCACCGCCCCCTGCATGAAAACGACGGAAAGTGCAACATTCATCACAGATAATAAAGTTGTGCGCTGAAATAAGAGTATGGATTAATACTGGTAGGAACCTCCTGGTTACACCAGCCCACAGGGGATTATTGTGTCCGTCGTGCAGGGAGGGGCTGGGTGGGGAGGGGAGGGTGGGGAGAGGCTGGGTGGGGAGGGGTGGGGCTGGGTGGGGAGGGGCTGGTCACCCCGTGGTGCCCTTATAAAACTCAACGTTTAACCTACTCACGCCTGCTTGTGCCCGCCCTCACAGTCGGGCATATTTTCGGAATACACCACGCCGCCGTTCACCCTGGCCATTGACAGAGCAACCCAACGTTCCTACCAGCTCCCTCCGCAGGAATGTGTTCGGGCCCTGTCCACCACCCACTGCCAAAATCAGACGTGTCTAAACCCTAACGTGCCTTTGAGATGTGGAGGTAAAACCTCTGATGTGGATGCACGTGCTCTGCTGTCGGCCAGACAGCTGTTGTTGTTTATCTGTGGCAGGAAGACCGAGTGTGAAACGCTCTCTTCAAAGTCTGCGAAGAAGGATACATGGGAGACGAGGTGAGATATATACAGACACTGAGAGACACACACGGAGACAAACACAGATGCAGAGGAAGACAGAGAGAGACAGGCCCAGAGAGACATGACGGGGCTGCAGAGATATATAGTACACGAAGAGAAATAGCGATGGGGTCTACACTAAAATAGACAGGCATACACACAGAGACAAAGAGAGAAATAGCCACAGAGAAACGTATTAGAGAAATCGACAGACACAGATGGAGAGACGGTGAGAGACACGGACGCACAGAGAAACAGAAAAAGATAGACACGGAGATGGAGCGGTGGAGAAACAGAATACAGTCCATGAACAGAGAGTAACACAATACTGATAGATACAGCGAGACAGAGACACAGATACAACATCAGAGAGACAGAAATTAACAGTGTACAAGACACGGGGATAACACACACATGGACAAACACACACATGCGGACGGACAGCCGAGACACACGCAGAGAAAAGACGCGGATAACACTGGTCAACAACAAAAAAACATTTTTTTCTGGCCTGGACTTTTGCAGCTGTTTTAGACTTATTTCAGGGTGCTGATTCCAAATCTGATCTCAGATTTATCACATCTCATTTTTATGCTATCGGCATACCCCATTTTCATTGATTTTACCCGAAATTAACTCCGTCACTTATGAATGCAAGTTGTTGCGAGTTAGTGACTGCTTTAGTGTTAAAATACGGTGATGTATTTTTAGGATAGTGTGTTTATAATATCATTTATGTAGATATCCACATTTATTTAATATTTTTCTTCCGCAGTTTTTATTGAAAATGCAATATTCGATATCTCAAAAACCTGATGCGATGGACAAAAACTGATGCCAGATTTGAAATCAGCACCCCAACATTACCTTAAACCCGTTGGAATACCTTATGCCAGAAAAAGCGTGTTGACCAGTGTAGTTATTGGCAGCAAGGGTGCCGTGCACCTTGGGAGCGGCACAAGTGTGTGAAGCTGGTTGGGGTGGGTTGGGGGTGATGTGGGTGAAAGGCCGGTGATGTCACTCACGCGCCACCCGATGTCATAGGGCCATGTGGCTGCTGCCACCTGTGTGCATGCCTACACGTGGTGCAAATCGCCAGTCACCTCAAGTCAACGAACGGCACCTGGGTCTGTCCCGTGACCTCCCCCGTCAGTGAGCCTTTCGTCGCATAACTGGGCATCTGTGATTTACTGGACATGTGTGGAAAAAGAGCTTCGTTGCTCTTCGGATTCCTCCAGTCTCAGTAGTGATTCCGACTTCACGTGGCCTCGGAGTGCACCTGGCCTGGCACAAGTGCCGTCGAGACGTCACCTCCACTTGGTGGCGAATGGACGCTTTTGCTTTTTGTACTCTGGCGACCAGAGTACGATTCCCGCTCACACCCAACACCAGTGACGAATATCTGAACCGGTCCTGGGCCTCCATCCCCTAGTCAAAGTGTCAGGATCAAACCCACGACCTGTATACCAGGCGAGGTCGGTAACATCTCGCCACCGTGACACCCACAATATGCGGACAGCATCTTCCCACAAATAAGTACAGAGTATGATGTGTAAACATCTCCACTTTGGTGACAAAGGCGGTGTGCGCGGTGCCTGCCACCCACCCCCTCGTGTGTCGTGCTGGCCTTCATAGGTGCTCGTTAACAGCACTTGAGTCAGCAGTTTGTTAAGGCTATAACGGGGATATTGGTACACGTACAACAGCCCTTTTGTCAATCCACTGCTGGATGAGGGCTTCCCAATGTGCTGTGGCGGTGTTTATTTGACCATACTTAAGACTTCTTCCTGGTTCTTTCGGTAAAGTCACGTAGAATGGAAACAATAAAAATAATAAAATAAAACATAATAAAATAATTCTCAGACACTGTCTCCCCGACAGACCTGGTCTTCACCTGATGAAGGCTGCTTGCGTTGTGTGCCCGAAACGTCGTGAGAATTATTTTATTATGTTTTATTTTATAATTTTTATTGTTTCCATTCTACGTGACTTTACCGAAAGAACCAAGAAGATGAATCCCTGCAGTCACGAAAGCTTTAAATCTAAACATACTTAAGACGCCACCACCTGTTTGAAAACGCCTTCTCTCTCTGGTCTATTTTAGCCTTTCTCTCCCTGGTTGCTCCTCACTCATCCCTTCCTCCTGTATATGCGTAACACTCTGATGTGCATTGTTTAAGGGGTGCCTTATAAATACAAAGTATCTTTAATGCGTTTGTTTTCTTTCATTACCAGAACCGAATCACGGGCACCTGAACGTTGCCACCTGTGCAAGAGCAACACGGGGAGATGTTCGCGCGGCCCGCGGCCCTGCGGCGCAGCCTGCGGCCTTGCCTAAGCGGTCCCGTCTTTGCCACGCCACATATTCCCCTGTCCTCCGACTGTTCGTCGCCCCGCTCTACCTCTTGGTCAGGGCCGTGGCACCGCCGTTCCCCCTTCTCGTCGCGCCCCGCACGGACGGCATTGTCGCGGGAGGATGCGGAACTCCTCGTGGCATCGTGCCTCGACGTGCCGAACCGCGAGCGGTGCCGGCGGGAGCTGGCCCGGAGGGACCGTGGGACCACGCGGATGCAGCAGCAGCAGGTGCAGCAGGTGCAGCAGGTGCCCATCCCCATGTGGACTCCGTCCCAGGGAAGCCGTGTCGACGCCGCAGTGCTGGTGTCGCTGTGCCGGCACGCCGGGGGGGAGCCCAGCGTGCTGCTGACGCTGCGCTCACGCACCATGCCCGGCCGACATAGCGGGGACGTCTGGTGAGGAGAGGGACTTGGCCTCCCTGTGCGCGCCCGTTACCGCACCGCTGCGCTTTGAGACGCACCGGATGAACCAAGGAATTGATATAAGATAAAATACGCATTTACACATCCCATAGGCCATACGGCGGCCTTCTGGGAGGGCGCGCATATTTTTGGCAGCACACGGGTTCAAAAAGTTACAAATTCGTAATGCGCACAGCTTCCTTCGATTCAGAGGCGTGGGCACAAGTCATTGCCAATATTCGTGTGATCAACCAACCCTCCTCGCCTCCGCAGTGCTGGATTACAGGCGAGCCACAGGGCTCCGTGCAAACAAAAGTCCAGACCGATTTTGATGTTCAGTTTCTCAACAGTCAGGCTTTGCAATGCTAGTGTTGATTCCAACAATCACCACGAGATGGTGACCTAACCCTGTTGGACAACGAGAAATAAGCAGACACTTAAGCTGCACGTGTCTGCCTCTCACACATAATTTCAGCGGCATTCATTCAAGACAAACTCTGGACTGGTTTCGACACACAGTGTCTCATCAGCAGTCAGACTTGCTTGAATCAATGCTGATGAACTAACGATATTACAGGCAGACCCACCTGTCTCTTCACGATATGGGTCCTAGTTTGACGCAAAATGATATATAATACACGGCATGAGCGTACTTGTGGAGAATATAAATAATAAAATAGATAAGCAGACTAATGTTTTTTTGTAATACTGCACTGCCAGCGGCCCTAAAAGAAAATGTCAGGTTCTTCAAAGGAGAGAGATTCCACAGAGATTTGAAGAATATTTCCACTACTCTCCACTAGGCAGCGCACCAACCCTGCTAAATACTACTGTTAGGTTTTTTCGGTAAAGTCACGTAGGTAAAAAATTAAATTAAAAGTTAATAAAAGTAATAATGGAAATAAAATAAAATAAAACATCACGACGTTTCGGAGGCAACACAAGTCTCCGTCATCAGGTGGGACCGTCACAGCCAGATTTACTGCTGACGGAGACTTGTGTTGCCTCCGAAACGTCGTGATTTATTATTTTATTTTATTTCCATTATTACTTTTATTAACTTTTAATTTTATTTTTTACCTACGTGACTTTACCGAAAAAACCTAAGAGTATGAATCCTTGCAGTCACGAAAGCTTCAAATCTAGAATAAATACTACTGCTTCGATTTTTATTTTACCAGGTAAGGCCCACTGAGCTATTTCGCTCTTTTTCAGCAGCGATCTGTCCACAAATGATGTCGGCCAAATAAATACTCTGAACGCATGTTAATTATTATAAATGTGGAGGAAAAAACCCACGTGACCACGGGGAGAGAGAGACACGCAAATTCCAAATATACAAGCGTCAGGGTCAGGATCAAACCCACGACCTGTATACCAGGCGAGGTCAGTAACATCTCGCCACCGTGGCACCCACAATATGCGGACAGCATCTTCCCGCGTTTATCTCTCCACGTAAAAAAAATATTTTCCTACATCCGTGTGGCTACATCGGGTATCTGTCTTTTTATCTTCAAGTTTCCCCGGCGGCAAACAGGAAGAGGGGGACCGGGACGTGGTGGAGACGGCGTTGAGGGAGGCGCGGGAGGAGCTGGGGGTGGACATCAGCGGTGACTCCGTGTGGGGGCTCCTGACCCCCGTTCCGGACGTGGTACGACACAAACGCACGCACGCACAAACGCACGCACGCACAAACGCACGCACGCATGCACAAACGCACGCACGCACAAACGCACGCACGCACGCACAAACGCACGCACGCACGCACAAACGCACGCACGCACAAACGCACGCATGCACAAACGCACGCACAAACGCACGCACAAACGCACGCACGCACAACGCACGCACAAACGCACGCACAAACGCACGCACGCACAAACGCACGCACGCACAAACGCACGCACGCACAAACGCACGCACAAACGCACGCACAAACGCACGCACGCACAAACGCACGCACGCACAAACGCACGCACGCACAAACGCACGCACGCACAAAGCTCGCCTGGGAGCAAGTGCTGTTAAGTGAGTCGCACCTATGAAGGCCGGCACGGCACACGAGGGAGTGGGTGGCCAGCACCACGCCCGGCCGCCTTTGTCTCTCAAGCAGCGATGTTTACACACCGCACCAAGTAGTCATTTGAGGCTGAGTCGATATAACTGTTCCAGATATTTGTTGCCTATGAGTGTGAATCAAATTCAGGTCGCCAGGTTCATAGCGCAATGTGCTACCACTGCACCACCGCTATTCAATGGGGCTTGGGGGGGCGCCAATTCAATCTGTGGTGCTGTGTGTACGTGTGTGAGTGTGCGAGAGTGCATGTGGGGAGCTGTAGTGTAGCGGTTAGCGCGCTGCGCTATGAACCTGGCGACCCGGGGTCGATTCCCGCTCACGGCCAACACCAGTGACGATTATCTGAACCGGTCTTGGGCCTCCCCTAGGTCGACTCAGTTTTAAATGAGTACCTGGTGCGGTGTGTAAACATCGCTACTGGGGAGATATAGGCGGTCGGGCGTGGTGCTGGCCACCCACCCCCTCGTGTACTGTTCCGGCCTTCATAGGTGCTCGCTAACAGCACTTGTCCCTACAGTCTGTTAAGGCTATACGGGGGATCTTTGTCTTTGTGTGAGAGTGCATGTGTGCGTTCGTGTGTGCGAGTGTGTGAGTGCGTGTGTGGCACCTGGGTCTGCCCCGTGACCTCCTGCCAGCGGGCGTTCGACACTTCACGTGACCTCAACCTAGGGGAGGCCCAGGACCGATTCAGATAATCGTCACTGGTGTTGGCCGTGAGCGGGAATCGAACCCGGGTCGCCAGGTTCATAGCGCAGCGCGCTAACCGCTACACTACAGCTCCCCACATGCACACTCACACACGCACACACACAGACACAGCACCGCAGATTGAATTGGCGGCCCCCCAAGCCCACAAGCGCCGTGGAGACGTCACTGCCACTTAGTGGCGAATAGCGGTTGTTGTGTGATTCATACAGTGGGGAGCACAGGTGGTGCATCTGCCAGTTATCTCTGTCAGTCAGCCCAGAGCACCTGGGTCTGTTCCGTGACCTGACAGCAGCGAGCCTTCCACATTTCACGCGATGACATCAAAGTGCACATAGCCTGGCACAAGCGCTGTAGTGACGTCACCGCCACTTAGTGCCGAATAGCGGCTGTCGCTGTCGTTGTTGTCGTTGACGATTCCAGTTTGCTTGCGCCGCTGTGTCTTGGTGTGCGTGGTTCATTAGACGGGCAAAATGATGGTGTGGCCTGTGCTCGCGGACCTGGGAGAAGTTGACCCGGGCGCCTTGAATCCCAACCCAGACGAGGTGAGGCGGCCGCCTAACCCACGCCGAAGACGCTCAACAATATGAGACAATACGGGGTTCTGTCATCCGCCACGATCTATCCAATAACAATCACGCCACCTCTTCGGCTCAATCACAAATTGCAAAATCACGGGAAACAATAACGTTTACATTTTTGCCTTGCGTGTAACAGTTGTTTGACGAGGCTGTGTTACGAAATGGTTACCCAAAAAAACAAACGGCCCCCAATATTCCTGGACAGTTTGACGTTTGCTTTGTAGACATTCTGCAGATTTCCTGGCCTCTACTTTAACAAACGTCGGTCGCATCCACAAAGTGCAAGGGACCTCCTACGCACAAGGTACCCAATTACTCCAAGCGGTGACCCGGAACTTGAACCCAGGCTCCCGTAGGGTCTGGCTCGGTGTGTCGATGTGAATTCTAACCCCCCGCCCCACCCCCTTCCCCAGGAGGAGAACCCAAGGCCTGTTGTCAAGGCGTGACCAGAGTCTGTCAAGTGTGGGATTGAAGTGCTCTCTCTCCCCCCCCGTTTGTCCGGGCCTTACCCTATTCTTTACACACGCGGAGGGATAGAACGGGAACTCTCTGAATTGGTGTCTAAATGCAATCGCATCCTAAGGCGCTTTACAAAAATAAATTAACGTAAAATTAGAGTGGATATGGGTGGTGGTGGTCAGGGCCAGTGGTGTAGCTTGGTTGGCATGGGCCCCGCTGCAAGGAATGAAATAGGGGGGCCCTGCTAAATTTCCCCCCTCGCTGCTGATTGTGACGATTTTAATGATGGCGATGGTGCCACTGGGGACGACGGTGATGATGATGGAGATGGCAGTGATAATCGTGACGACGACGGTGGCGATGACGATGATATCGACCACACACCCCCTCCTCCACCCTCACCGCCCTGCCCCCCCTCGCAGGTAGAGGAGGCATTCCTCGTCTCTCTGCGCCACCTGTGCGAGCCCGCGCACCAGGGCTACACGCGGTTCCGCGCTCACGGCGGCCGCTACGCGTACACGCTGCCGCTCTTCAGCACGGGCCGCTCGCCCCACGCTGCCTCCGCTGCGGCGACGTCGTCGGCAGCTTCGTCGGCGGCGTCGGCCTGGGGCGATCGCAGGGTGTGGGGCCTCACCGGCGTGCTGCTGGACCAGGCGCTCGCTACGCTCCTGCCGGAAGTCTACAGCTCCAAGGTTCACGGCGCCAGATTCTCGCGCCCCTCTGGGGGCAAGGGTCAAACGCGGGTCACCCGGACTGACCAGTAGCGGTGGCAGCAGCAGCAGCAGGAGGAAGAGGGCGGGTGGGTGGGCCGGTTTGGAACGAGGTTTGGCGTGACGTGCGGGGAAAGCGTCACAGTTGCCGTGGAACGATCTCTGCTCTGCACAAGGCTTGAGCGCTGCGTGCCGAGTGGGTTGAGAGGGTTAGAAATTCGTGTAGTTCCCTAGTTTCCTGGGTAATTCTCGCCACCATGGGTGGTGGGTGTCCAGGCACCCCCCCCCCCCCCCCAACTAGGTGTTCAGATGTGGCTAAGAGACACCAACGCTATATCGGGACAGCACAGACATGCACACGTACCGTCAATGCATATACGCATCGAACACATGCAGTCTACACACACATTCGGTCAATGCACAGCCACAGCAAACATACATTCACACACGTACAGTCAACACACACAGGGGACACATTCATAGAGGCAGAGCACACACATTCGCAGTCTGCACATACACATACATTCACACAGCACACACAGAGAGCCAAAGATCCCCCATATAGTCTTTACAGACTGTTAGGGCAAGTGCTGTTAGCGAGCACTTATGAAGGCTGGCACGGCACACGAGGGGGTGGGTGGCCAGCACCACGCCCGACCACCTTTGTCTCCCAACTGGTGATGTTTACACACCGCACCAGGTATTCATTTTAGGCTGAGTCACACACACACAGTTGTTCAGTCAGCACACATTCACAAAGCACACACACATTCATAGCAGCACACGCTCACACATTCAGTCAGCAGACACACACACGCATCTGTGCCCCTGCTAGCCTGAAATTTACAGCGCCATTCTTGGAACCTATTACCTTGCCGGATAGGATTGTTGCAATCGCCAGTATTTTCCGTGGAGAATTGCCATTCTTCAAATCTCCTGTTATGCACGGAGGTTACCCGTCAAAGCACAGTTGTTTTTAGTTCAACACTGCTTAGCTTTCGAGATCTGACGAGATCTGGTGGTGCATTGTGGGTGACTTTGTACCTGTGTTTTATTTCTATTGCAATGATTCAGGGAAGTGTGTTGAGAACGAGTGTAATCTATTGCGCTGTAAGCGACGCACAAGATTGTATTTTATTATTATATATTGCAGTAATGTATTAAAGTATGTATTAATATCGCAATGCAGTAACCGGTAGCGGTGTTGCGTGAGCAGCGTCAGGTGCCTACTGAGTGTTGGGAGAGGTCAACAGCGGAGGGGGCAGAGCCAACGGCGGAAATACCAGAGATCAGAGGTCGCAATCGGGTACCCGATACCCGGCTACCCGTACCCGGCCGGGTACGGGTAGCTGGGTAGGCCGTGAGTCACTGGTGAGTAACCGTTTGTCACTCATTTCCCAACGTCTTGTCTCTTCTCACAATTCAAGTTCCTAGAATCAACCCACCCGCGCCTGCAACATGGATTCATCCCAGAGGTCGCAATCAGGTACCCGATACCCATACCCTACCCGTACCCGGCCGGGTACGGGTACCCGTTTGCGACCCTGGTGCGGCCGGGTACGGGTACGGGTAAGGAATCAAAACCTGTTTGCGACCTCTGAATCACAGGCAGCTAAAACCTGGATTTGAACCCAGGATCCCAGTGGTGCCGGCTCATCGCTCTCACCTCTGGGCGACCCTGCCGCCTCCGCACTTTCAATTATTAATGGGACTTGGCAGCGAGCCTATCGTAAGTGAGTCAATCTCATCAAAACAGTACAACGTGGCATATATTCGACTCGCTGTGGAATGATGTTATAGGCGGATATGTGAAAAAGGGTCGGATTTGTGAACGTCAATTGAAAATAACCATTGCACTGCTCACAGATAGGTTAGCGGATAAAAAAAATAAAGTGTGCACCGCTGTAAACAACAGGGAATTGCTTGGCCGTGCTTTGGAGGTAAGCAAACGTACGCGAGATTCAGAAGCCGTGGCTGTGTGTGTGTGAAAACGTTGGATTCGTGAACATCTGTAGCACATGACGGTCGTACCGCTCACAAACAATACTGCACTGGGTGTGGGCCGGTTAATTGGTCGGGGCGGACGCGTGACGGTCGGATACGTGAGGTTGTGCCGTATTGCCCTTGACATGTCGGTGCAGGGAGATATGCTGTGTGAGAGCTTGGTGAGTGCTGTGCCATGGAGATCAGTGATATCACGTGAGCTGCTGTGTTCGGGGCCTCTGAATGACGTCTGTATTTTATGTCGTGTTTTTTCTCGGTATCGCTTTCAGCTTCAAACGCGTGCGTCACCGTGTGTAGAGAGCACTGGGGGGGGTGCGCGCCCCCCCCCCCCCCCCCCACCAGTGCCTACGCTGTTTCTCCATGGGCAGGCGGGTGCGAGAGAGGGCAGATGAGTGAGTAAGCAGGTGTGAGAAGAGTGTGAGTGGGTGAGCAGGTGGGTGGGTAAATGAGTGGATGGGTGGGTGAATGAGAGGACAGATGAGTGAGTGAGCAGGTGGGAGAGCGAGCGAGTGAGTGAGTGGGTGAATGGGTGAGTGGGTGGGTGAGTAAATAGATGGGAGCATGGGTGAGTGAGTGAGCAGGTGGGAGAGTGAGCGAGTGAGTGGGTGAGTGAACAGATGAGAGTGTGGGTGGGTGAGTGTGAATGAGTAAGTAGGTGGATGAGTGAGTGGGTGAGTTGAGTGGATGGGAGAGTCAGCGATTGGTTTAGTGAGCGAATGGGTCAGTAACCAGGTGGGACATAGTGAGTGAATGGGTGGGTGGGGTGAGTGTGTGAGAGATTGAGTAGGTGAGGGAGTGAGCAAGCAAAGTGGGTGTGTAAGTCGGGAGTGAGAATGAGCGGGCGTGTGGGAGAGTAAGTGGAATGCTGAGTCTAATGAACAAGAAAAGGGAGCTTTCATTTCACCCAAACATTTTCCTCTGCCGCTTCCTCTTACAATCGGCACTCCCTCTCGAAAGTCAGCGGCCACCGTAAATATGTCCTCCCCGAACACAGCGTCTCTGTGGCTCGTTCCTTCCGAAGGGACGGAAGCGCTAAATTCGGCTGATAAATCGCACGCAAGCCTGACAAGTCGGCGTGCTTGCCACTGCGCCAGGAAATCGCGGAGTCGACGGTTTGATTACCGCCAATGTCCGTCGAGTCAGCATTTGTTATTTTCGTCGGAGCCTTTAGTGTTGGCAGAAAACTGCAGAGTTCTAGTTGCGTCTGAGTCTGTTGATTTCATCTAGTCGCCCTCTAAATTGAGTTGGCTAAAGCCATCAGCTGTCAAAGTTTTCGTCGACATCTGTTGATGCCGTCTCACCATGATCGGTCGCGTGTTGAATTTTCGGTGAGCGGCAGCCGTAGTCATCGTCGCGCTTGATGGTTTTCATCTGCCCGGTCATCGTTGATTAAAATTTTAAGCACTTGGCTGACGAATATTTTCCTCAATGCGTTTTGTTCATGAAATTAACACACTGATTAACACGCTACTTCGCAGGCCGGTAACTTGCGTAATTCAAATTTACCGAAGTGCACCAACGCCATTTAAGACCCTTGTGACATCACTCGCAAGAGGAGGCTGCTGCATGCCGGTCTCGTAACTACATTCCCACATCCAAAAATGTACTCCCGTAACTACATTGGTGGTAGTTACGGGAGCGAGGTGGTTAGCGCACTGCGCTTGCATAGCAAACGCTGTGTTTATAAAACCTAATACAGTACCGTGTTGTCCATAATACAGGTTTTTTTGGGTTAGATCACGGAGATATATAAATGTGTCGTTAAACCCGCCACCACCCGTCACAGCCAATTCGTAAGGTTTGCCGCGTAAACCTGTGTGTTGGAGAGCAAAGCCACAACATTTAGAATCTTGAGTACGACGTTTCCCTAGTAATTATAGCTAGCTTCATCAAGCGACAGCCAGATTTTAATATTTACGCGATCTAACCCAAAAAAACCTGTTGCGGATGATATTGGTCACGAAACCCCACGTGTTAAGCAGTAACCGTGTTGGTTTTGTAGACATACTATCGACATTCGGAGTACTGTGAATCTCAGCAGCGGTTAAGATAGATAGATAGATCGTTTATTGTCATTGTCACCAGTACAACGAAATTTAAAATGCTCACCAGTCAGGACATCATTCATAAATTTAAATTAAATAAAACAAGAAAATAAAAATTAAATTAAATGAAAGATAATCAATTTATACTATATATAAAAACAGCCCAAGTATACCCACATACCCACATAAGGTTACATTTTGTCATTGCACATCTCTATTTCACAGTCAATTGTAAACACTATTACTTAATAATTAATTAGCATTAATTAGCAAGCCGTTACCATCTTATTGTGGACCTGCGATGCAATGATCAATACAGCGACTGATTTCATCGCTGCCATCAGCAAGGCGGTCACCCTTTCGAGCGCGTTTCCCTAGCTTGGCTGACACTCCGGCCGTGAGAGGCGGCCTGTCATCCGTTATAAGCCCGGTGCTGAAGCATAGTGTGGCTGATTCAGAATGGAATCCATTGACCACACAAAAAAAAACACACCTCATAAATCTGGCTTCAAACCAAATGCCGCCTGGCTCTGTGCGGATGACCCATGTGCGGTGATCCGATGTTCACCACGTACGAAGGATTACACTGGTCAACAATAAAAAAAATACATTGTTTTCTGGCCTGGACTTTTGCAGCTGTTCTAGACTAATTTCAGGGTGCTGATTCCAAATCTGATCTCAGATTTGCTCTATCACATCTCTTTTTATGATATCGGCATACCCCATTTTCATTGATTTTACCCGAAATTAACTCTGTCACTTATGATTGCAAGTTGTTGCGAGTCAGTGACTGCTTTAGTGTTAAAATATGGTGCTGTATTTTTAGGATAGTGTGTTTATAATATAATTTTATGTAGATATCCACCTTTATTTAATATTTTTCTTCTGCAATTTTTATTGAAAATGCAATATTTGATATCTCAAAAACCTGATGTGATAGACAAAAACTGATGCCAGATTTGGAATCAGCATCCCAAAATTGTTGACCATTGTTATTACTGCTATTAGTGTTGCCGTTTGTTTTTACGCCACCTTTGCACTCATAGCGCTCAAAGCGCCTTGCATCGGTTTAAATCATGATCAGTCCACTGCTGTTAGAAGGTCTCCCCAAGCCGTTACCATCTTATTGTGGACCTGCGATGCAATGATCAATACAGCGACTGATTTCATCGCTGCCATCAGCAAGGCGGTCACCCTTTCGAGCGCGTTTCCCTAGCTTGGCTGACACTCCGGTCGTGAGAGGCGGCCTGTCATCCGTTATAAAGCAGTACAAGGTGGGGCTTTCTTTTTTACAAGGCAAGCAGGCAAGGTCTCGTAGTGATATCTCCACGCACAAGGGTTTATCTTGCAGGTGATCGAGTCTTAAAGACCCCCACCCAGCGTTATCGTTGTGTTGGGTTTGATGGCGAGGTCACGAAGGCTCCGGTTAGTTAGTGCTGCAATACGCTTTTATTACAGCACAATTGCACTATCAACGTCATGTCACGAGACAAAGTATACATTCAGACATCGTGCAGGGGAGCGCTACCTCTGAGAGGCCTTCAAGTAACCTCTTGTCCACACAATAGGGGCAGCACTTGTCCACCCGCTTGGCTACAGAGATAATGTGTCACATGGTGGTATAATCACAGTATCTTTTTTATTTAAAGTGCTGTATTTCAGCTAAACCCTTCCTGTTGGAGAACAGGCAATGGAAGTAGGTCTCAGAGATCTACCTCAGATCCACTCAGTGACCTTTGTCGACACAACAGTGGGCAGTCTTTTTTACACATGCACGTGAGAGAGGTTTGTGGCATGACAGAATTTTTTTTAATTCTCAGAGCTGGAATTTTGCCAAGTTAAGTGCAGGACTAAATTTAATGCGATGGCTTTTTTGCGTTTGTTTTCGCGCGCAGTCATTGGTAACCAGGCTGAGCCCATCAACTCACCGCACTTTACAATCCGACTTAATGACGTCAGACTGCTTGGGTTCAAATCCAGGGTCCCTGCAGTGCCAGCACAGCGCTGTGACCTTTGAGCCACTCCGCCCGCCACTTTCCTGCAAACATATTTTTGTTATGTCCCTGCAGATAGCGATTTTCAGGAAAAACGAAATTGCTGGGAGCGAGGCGTTCCGTAGCCCGCGAGTAGAAGGTGCACGCTAGATGTACGGAGGGAACATAGAGGCAGCAGCGATGAGGTCGCCCGCTGCAGGTTACCGCTCGTATAATTTTTTCTACGGCGGTGAGCAAATCGGTTTTGTTATTACTTTCAACGCCAATAATTTCGCTTGCTTCTACCCAAAACCGCTCGCAGCCTGCAATTGTAAATGCATTGTGCTTCGGGGCAACCCATCCGGACGTGTTGGCGACAGCATTCCAACTCGAAATGCATTACAAAAATCCCTTCATTACGGGTTAGTAAAAAAAAAAAACGTCCGAATCGCGACGTCTAAATGAAACCGCCGCAAGCTTGCCGTGGCGCGGTGAGGAGCGGGTCGGCGGGCGGTGGCGGTTAGGAGCGGTGCGGTTGGGTTAAAAGGAAGCTTAGCGGTAATAACGTCTTCCCCCCCTCCCGACTTCTCCCCGCTGGTGCTGCACGACGGGCGGTCCCTTTAGATCGTCAGGTCTTTTCCGTTTGCCCGCTCAATAACCCCGAGAGCCTCGGCAGCCGTGCCCGGCCTTCCCCACCGCCCCCCCCCCCCCGCAAACCTGCTCCCTCCCTCCTCCCCCCCCATCTCAGAGACAAGGTCACCGTCGGTCAGCGCAGCGTTTAAACTGGCGTGCGTTTTACTGCCATGGAGGTTTGCGTGGTTTGCGCTGCCGTACGGCTCTCCTCCAATGCGCTCTCGGGTCGTACCGCGCATTGCTTGGCACGCTGTCTGCTGGGACCTTCCTGCTGAAGAACAACGCGCGGTACAAATTTTGGCCTTAACTGAAAGACATACCGCTTAACTCTGGTAACAGGTGACATTACTATAGCGTCAGATATGGTCTAACCAGTAAATTGCATTGCTAGCATGAGTCGCTTTTAAATAAAATTTTGATAATAAATTGTCAAGCTACATTACAATAGAGATTCAAGTAGTCGGGGAGTTAACTTTGGCACCCCAACCCTTTTAACTGTCCTTGCATTCGGACTGTGTGTAACCATGTGCTGTCAATGCCAAAGGCACATGAGCCCAAAACCTCGAAACCAAACTCATGCAACCTAACACATTCCTGCGGAGGGAGCTGGTAGGAACGTTGGGTTGCTCGGTCAATGGCCAGGATCAATGGCGGCGTGGTGTATTCCGCAAATATGGCCGACTGTGAGGCCGGGCACAAGCCGGCATGAGTAGGTTAAACGTTGAGTTTTATAAGGGCACCACGGGTTGACCAGCCCCTCTCCACCCAGTCCCACCCCACCCAGCCCCACCCTCCCCACCCAGCCCCTCCCCACCCTCCCCACCCAGCCCCACCCCTCCCATTTTTAGATGCACGACGGACAGACAGAATAATCCCCTGTGGGCTGGTGTAACCAGGAGGTTCCTCCCAGTATAAAGGAATATAAGTATCAGGAGAGAAACATCCAGAGTGAGAGGCTGCCTTGGCATCATCTGATGCGCAGGTGCTTGGTGGAATATTACAGAGCGGATTGTGGAAGATGGTAATGGTTTGCAGGCCTTAATCCAGCAGTGGATTGATCATGACTAATGGTGATTTCGGATATGGTTGCTATAGCTCCATCTTCCAGCTTGTGGAAGTGTTACACAGAGGGTGAGTTTTGGGCTGTGGTTTGTACGATGGTTAAGTGTGGTGACATCAATGGCATCGGTGATGACCACTTGACCTTAAAGATTTAGTGGATCACAATCATGGGTTACAGTTTAAATAACACACTTTATTTAAAACGTAAATACATGGGTTCCATTATCAATTTATAGGATTGCATTATTTTTAAAACCGCAACTTTGCTTCAATATTCTGGAGACAAAAAAAAGTCTACATTTACTTTAAAGCATATGTGGTATAACCAGATATAAAACAAATATACTTTTAATTATCTAGAACATCCTGAGTCTCAAGAGTAATTTTCAGGAGCGTCCTGTATTTGGATAACTGGCAGCAATGACAACTTTGTACCAAGACAACAATCCCACAGGCAGATTTCTGGTCCCACATGTGACAGCTGACGAGGCAATCAATGCCAATGTCAAGAATTCTTAGTTTCAAGACTCAATTTCAGGAGGGATTGACTTTGGACATTTAATTTAATTTAGTTCCTTTCCACTAACTGTGAGAGGAAAGAACACAACCAAAGGAAAACCCAGCGCATGTGGGGAAATAACGCTCAAAACCGTGTAGAAAATCCACTTGCGTAATGGCCAGGCAGCTCACGCATCAGGAGCACCGAGTCAGTAGAGTTTCATAGGCACCTACAAATTAAACTGGGCGTTCAAGTGTGGTGAGCTGATAAGCTAGAAACTATTAAACTCTTGTTTATTTTACCAGGTAAGGCCCACTGAGCTATACAGCTCTCCTCTTTTTTAGAAGTGCTTTGGCCATATATATTAGCTCAACAAAGCAGCTTATCACGTGGAACTTTATAGCAGCCAAATACTCTAAACGCACGTTGATTATAAATGTGGAGGGAAAAACCGGAGAACCTGGAAAAAAATCCAGGCGACCACAGGGAGAGAGACACGCAAACTCCAAATATACCGGTGTCAGGGTCAGGATCGAACCCACGACCTCCTGTGTACCAGGAGAGGTAATTAATATCTCACCACCATGACGATATGTTAAATACCTCGCTCACCTGTTAACTATCTCGCCACCCACCAATGACTGTACAAAAATACTTCCATCACATTACATTTGGTTTTCACTTAATTTGGCTTCTTACAGCTGTTAATTTTTTTTGTTCAACTAACTGAAACACAATATTTGCCTGGTATTGAAAGCTGTGCCACTAGTGTGGATAAAGAGGTCGGCTGGAAGTGACTTCAGTAGTTCTGTGACCCCATATTATTGGCATTGTTGTTCTCTAATACGGGGTGATGCACTGCTAGCTACTAGAGTTCTGGATGGAAATGTATTTCGTCCCATGACACAATGCTGATAGCATAACTAGAATTTAATTCTGAGAAAAATGCAAAATAAATACTTATTGATAAAAACATTCTGAGTTTGAATCGAGGCAGCCGCCAGTGATGAAAGCAGGTTCTCAAGTACAGTCAATTGAAGGTCATCACGTTAAATGTAGTTTTGGACTATGGCCAAATTCCAGTATCTCGAATTAAAAACATCACTTTTATAGTGACATGATGAGCATTACTATGTGTGGCATGACGAGTAGATTTTTTCCTGCCTCCCTAAACAATATGTATAGTATAAAGAATCAATTTTGCAGAACTGCCTTTTACAGTGCCCTGTAGCTTGGTGCCTCACACACTCTCCATCCACAAAACCCCGCGTCCACGTCACCAGATCTCATCCGGGTGTCCGCCACACGACCGTCTAAACCGCCTCGGCGACCTCCCCGCCGCCACTGCCGCCACCGCTCTCCCGTGCGTGAACCGGCGCGTCCCTCGTGAGCGAGAACGCCACCTGGTCGATGTGAAACGGCTCGTGCTGCAGCTCGGGCGACAGTAGTCCCAGCAGGGAGCCTCCCGCCTGGCGGCCCTGGCTCAGGATGGATCCGATCGCCATCCATCTCTCGGCCTCGTTCGGCCCGTGGCCCCATCGGTTCGGCGGGAGGTTCGCCAGGTGCAGCAGCAGCTGCGCCGTGTCGCGATGAGCCCGCCGAAAAGTTTCCTCCATGAGGCGGCGGTCTGCGCGCTCCGCCCGGCGCAGGCCCCCTCGCCGCTCGGCCCACACGCTGCGCAGCGCGTCCATGACGTCGGGCAGCCCGACGAGCTCGCCCAGCGACGCCAGCACGTCGTCTGCCACCGGCCGGGCGTCCGTCTCGTCGCCGCGACCCTCGAGCAGCGCGCTGGCCAGCAGCTGCCGGTACATCACGAGCACCGACACGTAGCAGACGCAGCTCACCAGCGTCTGCGGCAGGCGGTCCAGCGCCCGCCGCAGCGGGGCCGCCGGGGTGCGCGCCCTCACCAACAGCCGCGGCCTGGCGTTGGAGAAGATCTGCCGGAGGGCGCCGCCGGCACGGCCGGCGGCCGAGGGGTCCAGTTCGACGTCGCGCTCGTAGGGCGTGCCACCGTGCACATCGAGCTCGTAGGACTTGCTGGCGATGGCCAGGCCGGTTTCGGTGAACAGCTGCATGAAGGCCCAGCCGCAGCTGAGTTCGCCGAGCTCCAGCTCCGCCGCCGGTGACGTATCGGTGGCGGCGGCGCGCGACCGCAACACGTACGAGATGCCCAGCTCGAACAGCAGCCCGAGGTTGGGCGAGGCGTTGTCGGAGCGGGCGAAGAATTCGCCGTCCAAGAGGCTCGGCAGCAGCCCGCCGACGCGGGGAGAGAAGGTCCAGCGGCCCGGGTTGCGCGGCCGCCACGTGGCGCGCACCGCGTGCACGTTGCTCAGCACGCGGCGCCCGTCAAACAGGCACACGCGCACGTGGAGGCTCGCCACCTGCACGCCGAGCCCCGGCGGCGGGATGGCCTTGGCGCCGGCGAGGTAAAAGGTGCGGCTGACGCGGCACGTCCGCGGCCTCACGCCGCCCTGCTCCTCGCTCCACTGCAGGTCGCGGAAGGAGAGCTGCGAGGGGCCGAGGCGTGGCAGCAGGTGGCCGCGCGTACTGAACTCGTCCGCGCCCTCGCCGCGCAGCAGCAGCAGCCGGTGCAGTGTGGACGGGCGGAATCCCGAGGGGACGGCGCCCGTCGCCGTCATAGCGGCGCTGGCGCTCGTGTCGTCTAGAGCTGCTTTGAGGGCGCGCCCCGACGAGGTGTCGTGCCGCCTGCTGCCGGCCTCCTCTTCGCTCGAAGGAACTGACTCCTCGTCATCCTCGTCGTCATCGTCCTCGTCATCATCTTGGTCATCTTCTTGGTCTTCTTGGACTTTGTCCGGCTTCTGGTGCTGCAGGTACGTGCTGGGCACCATCCCGCGTGCGCCGTGCTCGTCCTGTGCCTCCCACCAGCCGTCGGGCTTCTTGCTCAGCACCAGCAGCACCGCCCCCTTCCTGAAGGATAGGTCGCCGGCCTCCTGCGACGTGAAGTCGCTGAGCGCAACAAACGTCTTCAGCTGCACCTCTCTCGTCTGCTTTCCTCCACCCTCCGCTTCCTCTGCCTGTTGCACCAACGCCCCCTTCACCTGCTTTACCTCCTCCCCATCTTCATCATCATCTTCATCATCATCTTCATCATCTTCATCATCTTCATCCTCATCATCATCCTCTCCTTCCTCTGCCTCTTCATCATCCTCTTCTTCGCTCTCGGTGCCTTCACGACTGTCGGGTGGCGCACACCGCTGCGCCAGCTGTCGCAGCTCCGCTAGGATCCGCTGCAGGCGGCGCTCCTCTTCCTGCTTCTTGCCGTCGTAGTCGGAGACGGGCGCCGGCTCGTCCGCCTTGCCGAGCGCAGAGAGCTCCCGCCGGACGCCCTCCGCGTGCGCCCGGAGTTCCTCGCAGCGCCGTCCCAGCTCCCTGTTGCCAGGGCCGCTGCTCCGCTGCCCGCCGTCTCGCTCCTCGGCGACGAGCGCGTCGAGACGTTTCTTCACGTCGTCGATGCTCCTCTGCACCTTCTGCAGGGGGCTCCTCACTTTGGATCGGGTCGTCATCAGGATGGTGATGATGGTGATGACGACGCTGCCGCCACTTAAACGTCAGTGGACCACCACAGCCTGTCAATAACAATTGAGATTGTATACGGGCAGTCCTCCGCTTACAAACCTAATTCGTTCCTGAGACCCTTTCATGGATTTTTTTTTTAAATGCCCATACGGTCAGCGTTATGAAATGTCTTACAGTTCAACAAAAAAGGGGAACCATTATTAAACTCATAATTAAGAAGAAAGATTGTACAGATGTCTTCTGACCCCCATTTAATTCTCCTAAACTTAATGTTTTAAGTAAGGGTTATGTGAAAGAAGTTAATATGCAAAGGGAAAACATGTTGGGGGGGGGGGGGGAATTAATGGGGGATCACAGGACATCTGGACCGCTCTGAACAGTACTGTACAATGGATGTTTCTGCTGCACCTCACTCCACGTAGCCACGCAGCCTCTAGCACCTGGTATGCACGGTGAGCGTGCATCCAAGAACTATCCCGGCTCAAGCCTGCTTAGCTTTCGATAATGTACGCGATCAACCGCATTTCGGAATGCCTCAGTCACAGCCAGAATGTGTTTGTTACAGACGATAAGACACGAAAACTCTGGGCCACTTGATGTTAGGCGCCGATATGAAGGGGGAGAAAAAAAGACAATGCAAATTATACAAAAACACGTACTGCCAAAACAAAATGTAGGACGACAAACATTGAAGATGTTTATCGCAGCAGTTGTTTAAGAGTTTTTTTTTATTTGTAACGGAAAGCATCGGCCTAAGAGAAGCCTGCACAAGGCCGCAAGTCTCCGACATCCCGTTCACGACTCCCGACGCAAAACGTTAAAAGCTGTCGCGTTCAATTGCGCGCTTAATCTCGCCACGTCTGCTGTCGGTGTGCTTTAGAAGTGAAAGTACCTCTGACGGGGGGGCGGGTGGCGGCAAAATGTAGTTGACGTGTTACAAAATGTGAACTTGAAAAGACCCTTGGGCCTAGGACGCCTTGGCTGGCTTCAAACGCTCGTCGCCTTAGCAACGGTCGCCACGGGAGGCGGTGACGTCACCGCGGCAGCGATTAGAAATCCGCGGCAGCGATTAGAAATCCGCGGCAGCCCCGTAAACAACTCTGAACAAAATTTAGATTTTAAGCTTTCGTGACTTGCAGGGATTCATATTCTTGCTTCTTTCGGTAAAGTGACGTAGAAGGAAAAGAATAAAATTATAAAACAAAAGAGCTTTATAGCTTATCGGATTCCTTCATGCAGGATAAGCACACATTCAGATTCTGAGATATACAAAATAATAAAACTTATATTTTTTAAAATTTACATTTAACTTTCGGCCACGAGAATTTGTTCACGGGGTTGAATTTGTTCAGAGTTATTCTTGGTTCTTTCGGTAAAGTCAGGTAAGACGGGAAATAATCAAATACGTTTTATGATTTGAATCCCTGCAGTCACGAAAGCTTTAAATCAAATTTTATTGATCAACTTTACCCAAGAAAAGCCACTGTTAGTACTGGATGGCCCCGGGAACTTTGAGCCACACCTGCTAAAGATGATCGAATAGCAACGACACATTCCTGCGGAGAGTGCTGGTAGGAACGTTGGGTTGCTCGATCAATGGCCAGGGTCAACGGCGGCGTGGTGTATTCCGCAAATATGCCCGACTGTGAGGGCGGGCACAAGCCGGCGTGAGTAGGTTAAACGTTGAGTTTTATAAGGGCACCACGGGGTGACCAGCCCCTCCCCACCCAGCCCCACCCCTCTCACCCAGCCCCTCCCCACCCTCCCCTCCCCACCCAGCCCCTCCCTCCCCACCCAGCCCCTCCCCACCCTCCCCACCCAGCCCCTCCCCACCCAGCCCCACCCAACACCACCCTCCCCACCCAGCCCCACCCTCCCCTCCCCACCCAGCCCACCCAGCCCCACCCTCCCCTCCCCACCCACCCCACCCAGCCCCACCCTCCCCTCCCCACCCAGCCCCTCCCTCCCCAACCTAGCCCTTCCCTGCACGACGGACACAATAATCCCCTGTGGGCTGGTGTAACCAGGAGGTTCCTACCAGTAAAACGTTTCTGTAACGTTGTGTTGCTATTCGTGGAAAAACGTACATGTTGAGACAGGGCTTGTATAGTCCTGCCGGGAGGCAGGTGGTGTCACGCATGTATGTTGAACTTCTTTCGCACCTTCCGTCGCCAACTGTGCTAATCCCAGGTGCTTAGACGCGTCTTACAGAATTAGTTTGTGTTACCGTGTGCAGCACATACATTCAATGGGATTCATACTCCCAACTAGCCTGTCCGCTGTGCAGTGCGTCCACACGACCAATTGTGGACATTTAGCCGATACACGTGTCGTAAATTCGTAAATAGGCGAGGGATGCCAGCCACGAGAAGTGGAGGCTTGAACTCGCACGAAATTCAATCGCAGGGCCGCCATACATAATTACACCAAAGTAGGATTCAAAGTTCAACGTGTTGTGTGTATGTGTGTGTATGTGTGTGTGTATGTGTGTATGTGTGTGTATGTGTGTATGCGGTAGTGTAGCGGTTAGCACGCTGCGCTATGAACCTGGCGACCCGGGTTCGATTCCCGCTCACGGCTAACACCCAGTGACGATTATCTGAACCGGTCCTGGGCCTCCCCTAGGTCGACTCAGCCTTAAATGAGTACCTGGTGCGGTGTGTAAACATCGCCACTGGGGAGACAAAGGCGGTCGGGCGTGGTGCTGGCCACCCACCCCCTCGTGTACCGTTCCGGCCTTCATAGGTGCTCGCTAACAGCACTTGCCCCTACACTCTGTTAAGGCTACACGGGGGATCTTTGTATCTTTGTGTGTGTGTGGAATTTAGACTCGCACACATGTGGGATCGGGACTCAAATAGCACGGAATCTGGAAAACAGTCGGGGTTAGGGTTAGGGCCGGGTCAGACCCGGCTTGTGAGTAAGGCCAGACCAGAATACTTGCGTTGCTGTTTTCCACGTTTTTTTTGTGGTTGTAATGTACCGTGGATGACACCGATTTGTAATTTGCGGCGTTTTTGTTAGCGGCAGAGTCGTCCGGACTGAAACCTTCCACAAGTCTGCACAGCGTCATCGCATCGTTGTCAGCAAGAACCAACGCGGCGCGGAACGCGTTGTACGGAGCGGGCAAAAAGTCAGGGCACGTAGGGTTATTCAATTGATTTTAACACTTGCATGAAAACATTTTTATTGTAAATGCTTACCCCATGCTCTCATACTCTGATGGTGCATTGTCTTTGAGTTGTGCGCCTTTTGGCGTCATCTGGTCCAACCCATGTGAGACTAGGCTCTAAGGAAAGCTGTCTCGGGTGTGGACCAATCAACTTCAAGGACAGTGCATACATTATCAGAGTTGTGTTTTTTGTTTGCATTATGACTGCAGGTATTGTGGTCTATGCAAACATGACTCCTCGTAAAAAAGGTGTCAGTTTTGTTGCCAGATAAAAGAGTAAAAAACCAATTATCTTAATATTTTATCTTTTATAATTATTTATATATATTTAATCTTCCTATTCAGATGACATTACAAAACCATGAATGAGTCGAGACAAAAAAAACTATTCGTGAATGTTCAAATATTACACCTGTCAAATGTTTTTAAGTCCCAAATTCATTGCAGAGGAGAAATCACGCGTGCGTTAAAGTTAAGGGAAGTCAGCTTGAACATTTAGTGAATTATCCTCGGGGACATACGATTGACAGCTGTCCCTGTACGGCACAGGGCCCGCAAAGTAGGCATTTCGTCTGCCAGTCGTGGTCAGAAGCGATGCTGCTGTTGATTGTTCCAAGCCAGTAATTTACTCGTACAAATGCTGTACAGGATATAAACTGAACTATATTTTTGTAACTTTACCAGGTAAGGCCAGCTGAGCTATATCGCTCTTTTACAGAAGCGACCTGGCAACAAGCGATAGTTCAACGAAGTGGCTTGTCGCTTGGAAATTTACAGCAGCCAAATACTCGAAACGCACGTTGAATCTAAATGTAGAGGGAAAAACCGGAGCACCCAGAGAAAAATCCACGACCACGGAGAGAAAGAGAGAGAGACACACAAACTCTAAATATACGTTAAGGTGTCAGGGTCGGGATCGAACCCACACCCTCCTACATACCAGGCAAGGTAGTTAACATCTCCACGGGGAGAGAGAGAGAGAGACACACAAACTCTAAATATACATTCAGGTGTCAGGGTCTGGATCAAACCCACGACCTCCTGTATACCAGGCGAGGTAGCAGTTAACATCTCCTAGCCACCGTGGCTTGAATTGAATCGCTACCCGCAATCGTGACGATTCATCTAATCGCCCCATGAGGATGATAACCTTCTGAGCCAGCCGGCCACAGCACCTCTTAGGGGCCGTCCATAAATGACGTCACGCACCTGGGGTGGGGGGGGGGGGTCAGACATTTGTGACGATGTGTGACGAAGGGGGGGGGGGGAAGGTTGAGAAATGTGACGTCACATCAAAATGCGCAACTTTAAATAAATATAGACAACACGTTCTACTTAATTAAATAGACTTTTTAATAAATGTTTTCTCCTACAACATCAGAGTGCAGCGGCACATTAAATACGCACTACAATGATAATAGTTTAAAGCGATTTGAAGCATGTTTTATTTTTTGGGGGGGAGGGGGGCAGAGCTTTGTGACGTCATATCTGACGTCACAAAGCTCTGACTTTTTGTGACGTCGTGTGACGAAGGAGGGGGGGGTCAAAAATCGTCCAAAATCGCGTGACGTCATTTATGGACGGCCCCTTATAGCCGTGTCTCGATTCCTAACGGGGTTTTGCAAGTGAAGTGGTCAGCACAACACCGCATAGTCAACCCGTTTCATTCACCGCGTTATTTGCTCGCGAGTTGTGATGGAGGATATTTCTATAGGATACATTTTACACGTGTAATCTGGAAATGGCCCTTCATAGCACATCCGACGTTTCAGACCATGGCCCTTCTTCACGTGCTATCTTCACTGACGAAAGACCATTGCCTGAAACGTCGCCGAGTATATATTATTGTGTTCTTGTATGTATAATGAACTTCATTCGCACCGTACGTAGCCAACCGTGCTAATGGGGAGGTGCGAAAGGCCACACACACACACAGTTGTTATTGTCGAGTGTAGTCAAGTTACATCATGGGACCTCCTTTGCCAGTACCAAAATATACTAATAGGGTTTTTCCCCTTTTTTCTGGCAACAAAACTGACACCTTTTGCAAGGAATCATGTTAACATTAACCACAACACTTGCAGTCAAATGCAAACAAAAAAGAAAGCTGTCTCTGGTGTGGACCAATCAGTTTCAAGGACAATGCATAAATGATCAGAGTTGTGTTTTTTGTTTGCATTTGACTGCAAGTATTGTGGTTAATGTAAGCATGATTCCTTGCAAAAGGTGTCAGTTTTGTTGCCAGAAAAAAGGGGAAAACCCCTATTAGTCTTCTTGGTTCTTTCGGTAAAGTCACGTAGAAAGAACCAAGAAGATGAATCCCTGCAGTCACGAAAGCTTTAAATCGAAACCCTATTAGTGTATTAAAGTTGTGTTGCCAATTGTCCACGTGCGCCACTGCTAGCACAGCAGCAGTATCACCAGATCATTTGTGATGTAGCAGGAGGCGCTTGTTTGCTTGAACGCGCTCTGGTGTCTGTGCGCACTGTGTGTGTGTGTGTGTCATAAGGAAGCAGCGACGATCGTTAATGCCCTCAGTTTACACGGAAAGGCCTCGGCGCGAGTCACATTGTTTCGTTTTCAGGAGGGCCCCTGCTAAGTTGAGACGCTTCACCCTCGTTCCACCAGTGACTCGGTTTTTGGCTTCTTGTGGGAGGATACCAGCGCAAGCACGCTTGCCTGGACGCTTTTTCTCTCTCTCGCTCTCTAAAGACCTAGGGGAGATGGGAGACCGACACTCACGTTCATAAGCAAGCTGCGTGTATATTATTCTTCTTGGTTCTTTCGGTAAAGTCACGTAGAAGGGAAATAATAAAATAAATAAAATAAAACATAATAAACTAATAATATAATATATGCGTGTATATTGTTAGATTTGTAACATGTTCCTTTACTACCCTTCTTCCCTCTCGCGTTCCCCACCCTCCCCTATCGCTGGTCTTCCCTTAGTGTGCTAGT